TACTCTACCTCTCATCAACCTGTTCTTATGTGTGTGACCCTGTAGGTTTTCGCAATATTGGCAATTATATTAAATCACACATTTAACATAATAAATAATAAGTGGTATCTAGAAACATATCACTTCTACCCAAGTCACAAATATGTCATGTGATCTGACAAAACCATTTCATGATAATACATGTGTTTACAATTACCCTTTTGCCCTTATGTATATATTGAACACAAGGCATAGACCGTGTCACCCTTGCCTAGTTCAATTTTGGACCCTTAGACATTTATCCTGTTATGTAGAATGAGAAAATTCCATCTAGGTCACTCATGTCCTTCAACATGCTTTGTGAAGTACCCATCAACTCTCTTTATGGTTGTCCAGTTACTAATAACGTTTGATCAACAATAAAGTACTTAACTCTACATCTAGGGTTCATAGTGTTTCAGGTCGAAGGGTGGTATACACCATTATCACCATGACAATAAATTATGACACCTTGCATAAAATTCTATGTAGTATTCTTATAGTGGGTCAATACAGTATAAATATTACTCCTAATATTCATACCTATGTCCAGACTTGATAACTCCTTATCCATGATCCATGAGATGTGATCATCAGTATATCTACATAATAATCTTAATGCTCTAATGCTATGCCACTTTGCAATAAAGCTCGACTACAGATACTTTAAGAATAGTGTATATATGTTTAATGAGATCTCATGATTAAGTCACACTTAACATTTCATTAAACAGACGAACTATTATAGGGACTTTATTACTTTGAAAAAACAAACATAAAAAGTCTTTTATTATTAATAAATAATTCGATACAAGTACCAAAAGTATTGGCCTATATGACTTACACCAACTTATATTCCCTGAGAAACTTTTTTGTTCGAATGACTACCATAACTAGATTCAAACAAGGAGATACCGAGTCTCAGTATGATGCATGGAAATGTATAAATTAATGATTTAACATTGTTCTTTTCATAACATTGATTATTTGGGGCAGGTACAATATTTTACCATAAGACTTTGCAAATAAACTAAACTCAACTAGGATGCTTTAATATGAGGCACCATGTTGAACAAATATGTGACAATAGTAAAATAATTGATTCATAACATGATGCATAATGAATTTAGATCCATATTAGTGATGGGGAGTCCAGGGGAGTCCAACATTCCACCCATTCATAGGAAATGTGGGACTATAACCACTCACACCACAACAAGTGTGAGTCGTTACATCTTATAACATGATCTAACATCGAATCCAATTCCCGCTCCCATACAAAGCCGAACTACGGCTCTGATACCACTATTGGGGAGTCCGAGAGAGTCGGGAGCATTAAAGGGAATAATGCTCAAGCACTACAACAGAGGAAGACATGACATCTCAACCTAAAACCCTAAGGTGTTAGGTAAATGGACCATCTCTCTTATAAATCCAACATTCCACCTATTTATAGGCAATGTGAGACTATAACCACTCACACTTGCACCCAACAATTAGATCGAGTTGCTAGAAGAAAATGAATCATATAAATTGATTCTTAGAATGCACAAGTAGATGAAGGAACAACTAGACACGCTAACTAAGAAAATGGAGGAACCCTAAAAGGTGTATCATCAAGTAAAAAAAGGTTCACCGAACTATGATGGGTGACTACTATGGTAAAGGTCATGAAAATGACTAGTGTAATTCAGGATGATATTTGGACGAAGAAGTCAATTTCATGGGAAAATTCCAAAGAAATAATCCTTTCTCTAGCACTTATACACCATCAAGAATAAATCATCCGAGTTTTTGATGGAGTGAAAATTCTAGTCAAGGTTCCAATCAAGAGCGGCAATACTAGAATTGATACCAAAAATAACCTTAACAAAATCATCACAAAACTCAAACTAACATCAATTGTATCAAAACAACCGAAAATAATATTCGACTCAACCACAATAATATTAAGACTAACAATAATCATCACAATAATACTAGCAACCACCTTATCTAAGACAACAATAAAGACACCAAAAAGATCAACATCAACAATAATCCGAAGAATATAATAAATAACCTATTCATACGAGGAAGTTTTTTCAAAGAAAATTAAATTATCACTCAATAATCTACACAAGAAAATCTCAAGAACATGTAGCTAGCTTAAGATACTACCAACAAGAATACATAAGAATCCCTCATAAATCTAGAAACACAAAATGGGAAAAATGTCATAGTAATTGACATCTAAAACATTCAATAGTTATGAAGGAAACATATTTTACAATTCCAGAAGAATGAGAGATGCTATTCTATAAATTTCAAATGAAGGAGAGTTACAAAATTCTAAGGCCCAAAACTATATAGAATCACTGGTATAAAAATGAATTAGGAAGTGATTGAGAGGAGGCAAAGAGAGCATATGGTGATTAGAGTGGAAAAAGGATGAGTGAAAAACTACCACTCAGGTGATAGTTTTGCTAGACAACACCTCAATCCAAGCTTGAGCTCTTTCAATCAATGTTATTGGGCAACAACTATAATATTTTATTCTTTGTTATTGTAATATATTTGGGTATGATAATCCTGGATAACTTCGAAGAATCGTGTTCGTACACTTTCCGAACAAAGTATTTCGACCCTATTCTTGCCTGGGTTCACGAAATCTTTGTGGGGATAATTCTCGAAGAACAATCTATTTCTGGCAAAAGAAACTGATTACAAATAAAGAGAGAAAGAGACGTTTTTCCGTTTTTGAAACCGAGGCTAAATGACTCCTTATATATGAGATCAATAACTGAAACCGAAAAGACACACATGTTCGAAAAACGGTTATGTCGGTTGCCCCACCCCTTGGACCCCAACGGGGCGCTGCCCCGCACCCCGCCAGGGGCTTCGCCCCGTGGAACCCCAACGGGGCGCTGCCCTGTACCCCGCCAGGGGCTTCGCCCCTTGGAACCCCGTTTCAATTATTCATATTCAATTATGCATTGGCTCGACGAGCGTGCACTCCGCACTTCCCTAACTCGTTTCCGAACTTAACGCATAATTGCGTCGGCCTTTAGTAAATCACATTACTACTAAAATACATTGGTGATACTAAAATCACCAACAGTTATGCCAGTTGGATTAAAAATGTTTGTATGTGTCAATCAGAGAATTTTCATCAAATGAAATATCTCTTAAGCTTGAAATAACATGACTTTAATTTCAAATTTACGTGGAGTCTCCGATTGGAATCCATACTTTACTTCTACACCATCTCTATTACGTCTAAAATCTCCCAGAGTACGGTTATATGGTTCAACCATATTTTCATCTTGTTGACTAGGTAATCGAGTAGCTTGTCGGATTTCTCTTGCAATTCTCTCAATTTCTAGATCAAACTATAAAAATTCCAACCCTGCATTACATAGAATAAACAAACTTATACCGTAAGTAATATGTTTCAAACTAAATTTTAAATAATAGAAAGAAAAACTTAAAACATAATTCAAAATGTGATAAATTCCTAGTTCAATCACCTATTGTTTCTTTGTTTAAGTGATCAATAATTCTCGACAAGAACATCATTTTGTTAGATTCAAAACTAGTGTATTTTGCAAACAAAAACATCAAATTAGCGAGTAAAATTATCATATCCACGAAGATTGTATTAACCTCATATAAGGACAAAGTCAGTGTGCATACGAATTTAGCGCAATATGTGAGTAACAACTCGTGGGTGCATAGAGCGTGATTGATTGGTTGCTTGAGTAATTATAAACTATAGAATTGTTAATTAAGATTGAAAAAAAAAATATTAAGTTCTCTTTTTAAATCATCTACCCCAAGATATAAAAATTCTTATGATTATTCCTATAACGAATATGATTTAATTATTACTTTGTACAAAACAACGAATTACAACCTCATAACCCCCAGATGATAAGATTCTTTAATCGCAGGGAGACCCACTTCTTCGAAGTATCTCCCGTATTTTGGGAGTCTTTAATCACAAGGATGAAGGTTTTATGGCACATAAAGTAAAATAAGAAGATAGTTTTACAACACAAGATTACATCTTGCATCCCCTAAATGTCAGGAGTCTTCAATCGCTAAAAAATTTTTTTTATAGCGTGTAAAACTAGACTAATGATCAAGATCATTCCCATCACAACACAAACAAACATTACAATCTCAAGGTTCCACCAATCAGATGAAAAAACAATCGTTGAGTCTCATTTCCCTGTATATTAATTCTCCCAACTTCATAGACTTGAGAAAGCATTAAGTTCAAATAAAAATATTTAATTAAAATCATAAAATCATTACAAAAGCAACCATGGATAATTACATTGAATCACACATTTAGGGTATAATCAACTAGAGGGAACCTAACCTAAGGGAACTAGTCATCCATCCCTAGGATATTTATGGTTTTTACAATAATGAAGAACAAACTCATAATGGTAACCTTTTTTATCCTTCCTTTGGCTAAAAAATACCTTAGACACTCTAAAATATGACCAAAGTTAACTAAACACATTTTTTATATTTGTGAGTAAAATTTTGAATTTGTGAAATCACATAATGCCTTACTCGTGTTAGATTGATCACTTAAAACCACTACGCCAAAAAAGACTTACGAAAGCGCTTTTTTTGGCCTTTAAAAGCGCTTAAAAGCGCTTTCGTAGGTGGCGCTGCTATAGGTTTTAGCAGCGCTTTTTGTTTAATGAAAAGTGCTTTCGTAGGTCTACCTAATACAACACTTTTTCTAAAAAGCGCTCTCTTAAGTAGGCTTTTGGCAGCGCTTTTTTATGAAGAAGCGCTTTCATAGGTCTACCTAAGGCAGCGCTTTTTTCTGGAAAAGTGCTCTCATAAGTTTTCTTTTAGCAGCGCTTTTTTCTGGAAAAGCGTTGTCTTAGGTAGGCTTTTAGCAACGCTTTTTTCTGGAAAAGCGCTTTTATAGGTGGTCTTTTAGCAGCGCTTTTGCCTTGAAAAGCGCTATCATATGTTTACCTTAGACAACGCTTTTTGTGAACATTTCTTGCCATAACAATAGTTTGCTCTAGGAAAGGTTCCCATGCTAAGATACTATCCATGATCACATCTCGCCCTTTATTTAAAGCTGTCACTAGTAGAGATGATGCAGCATCAGTCGAAGTCTGATGCACCTGTTTAGATTTTGATGACAAGCTAGTTAGGAAATACTCTGAAAATAGTAACATGAAAGTTTCGGACAATAGAAGCATACCAGTTCAGCACTTTGAAGCATTTCATCATGGTGGACCTTAGAGTTAAGAGCTCTATAAATGACATCACTCTCCTTAAAAGCATCTCCTTCAACAACCACAACATTGGATGCAGCTTCTGACCAAAATGATCTGCCAAAACCATTTAATTAGGGGCAAAACAAGGAAAAAAGGTGAAGGGTGACAAAATTTAACACATGCATGTCATAACTCATAAGATCGTTTTTTTTCCTTCTTATTTTGGATACACACGGTTCATAACATTTGCAACAATTGGAATTGAACAATGATCTAATTAATGTATGGAAGAAGTAGAGTTAAGGTGATACTTACTCTCTAAGAATGTCTTTAAGAACAGTGCTTTTTCCAGATCCCATGCCTCCACCCATAAGCAGCAACATTGGACTCCTCTCACTCTGGACAATGGAGACCTTGTCATCATAACTTTGCGAGTTGCCCTTTATTGCTTTAATCTCTTCAACCAATGTAGAGAACACTCTGGCCACCTTTAGTTTCTTTGTTATTCTCTCAAACCTATGTTCCCTATAAACATAACATAAGACATTTAAATTAGTCCATATTTTTTAAAGGTTATTTTAAAGCAAAATTGTGAGTGGATTATTAATTGGTATGCATGTGTAACAAAAATTTACACTATTAGTCTAATAATAAATAGATCAAACTTTGTTTGGCATGGATTATAAATACTTAAAAAATCCCGGATATGGCTTACTATAATTGATTTTCTGTGTAAAAATATTCACACACTAACATTACATTAAAATTCGGTCTTAGGCTCTGTTTGTTATTAAAAAAAAACATTGCACCAAAATTAAACTCAAAATTAGATATAAATTTACCTTGTGGCTTCCAAAAGAATATTTTTGAGATTTATTTTGGGTTGGGACTGAGAACTTAATACCTATGATTAAGACGATTAAAACATCAATATATTAACATACAATTATCTATGTCAAATAAACAAAAGCATGTATCAACTTAATAGTTAATATATTTCCCAAACTATAAAATTCTTTCTTAATTAAGAAGTTACACTTACATCTAATTAAATATCACCATCTCATAAATATCTGTAGAGATATTTTAGAAATCGTCATAACAAAGTGTTATAATAGTGAGGTGAAATTTTTTTTACCAAAAGTATTATGAGATATGACTGAAAACATGTGTAATTGGTTTTTTTTATTAAAGAATTATGTACCTGGGTAATGATAAATGAAGCTCGGTTCCAATGAAAAGCAAAATAACTGAGGATGCATCTTTCAAATTCTTCAATCAATTTTGCATATAGTGCATTAGCGTTGTCCCCATTGGCTAGATATTGATATATATTTTCTACACCCTTCAGTGTTTCTCAAGTAGTCCCGTGCCAATCTGCACAACTCTGGAACCTCGCCGTCATCTACAAATCCCATTTGCCTAGCTGCATAGACAAATGTACAAGTAGCCATAATTAATTCGATAATAACACAAATTCATCATCAAATTCACGCCCAAACTAAACTGGAGAAGTAAAAGTAAAGTGGTAAAGAAGTTACCAACATAGTGAGAGAAAATCTCAAGCTTGGCAACACGGCCTGACTCCGTTTGATGTAAGTAAGGAACAATCTTCTGCTGGTCAACCATCACTGAATTATCACCGATTAATCCGACGATGAAGGCTACCATGACATGTGCGAGGTTGCTCATCACATTAACACTACTAGCAGTACCATCTGAGAATCAAATCACAAAAATTAACAAAATATAAACTGACGACAACGTGTTTCTGTAAATGCGTAAACCAAAATAAGTACCTTGAAGTTGTAGCTGCATGTTGTTCGAAGATTCAGAAGTAATCATAGATCAATTTTTTTGAGGGTTGATATGAATAGAGACAGGAATTGGATGGATGAATAAATAGATTATATTGAAATGTAAAGAATGATAAAAAATGAGACTCTGCTAACATTGTCATTTAATGGTCTCGCCAAACACGTTCATCATCATTTCTTAGAAGAAATGGCCACTTGCTTTTTTGAATTGATTATAATAAAAAGCGTCCCACGTCTCCTGATGACGTTTTTTTTGGTGAAGGATTGGATAAACGTTCACTTTAGTCAAATTATATTAAGTTGTATATACTTAACGTGTGGATTGGATGACATGAAATTGTTAACCAAACAAAAAGCACACGAAAACCAGACAAACACATACGAGATGAGGAAAAAAATGAAACCTGATACGAATTGCAGTTGGCCGAAGAAGTGGAGCTCCGTTGACCGCCGTAGAAGCTCTGGTTTATGGTTTTTTCGTGAAGAAAATATGACTGAGAATAGAAAAGTGATACGAATTGTGTTTTGATATTTATTATAAAACTACCTATGAAAGTGCTTTTAAAAGCGCTTTCTAAAGGTCATCTATAACAGTGCTTTTACATAAAAAAAAGCGCTTTCGTAGCATATCCTATAGCAGCGCTTTTAAAAGCGATTTCTAAAGGCCAGTTTTAGCAGCACTTTGGAAAAGCGCTTTCTAAGGCTGACCTTTAGCAGCGCTTTTGAAAAGCGCTTTCTTAAGGTACCCTCTGAAAGGCCAGCTTTATCAACACTTCCCAAAAAGCGCTTTCTAAGGGTGACCTTTTGAAAAGAGCTTTCTTAAGGCACCCTTTGAAAGCGCTTTTTTAAGCGAATTTTTTTTAAAACCTACAGCAACGCTTTTTTCCAAAAGCGCTTTCTTTTATGTGCTGCTAAAACTTATTTTTGGCGTAGTGAACATTTTCATGTCTTGGCGCAAAGTTGGAATCGTGTTCTTGTGCTTTGGGCAGACTGCTATTTAATTTAGAATTATATTTTCACTTTAGGAAAAAAGTTTGGATCACGTGATGTTTTACGCTCTCGCCTCCTTGTCCATTTGAAGTTAAATTGTGTTGCTGTAAGATCAAGGTGTGATGCGCTTTTCATGCCTTTTATAGTTTTCTATGATTTTCCTCTGTCCTTACTTCTCCATTGTAACTTTAACACTAAACACTATAAATTTGTCTTCTTAGTATTATTTCTGGTAGGCAATAGGCTACGATCTAGTGGGGATGAACAAATCGCTAATGAAATTTTCTTGTTTAAAAACTGTTTTAAAATTATTTAACTAGATTGACAATCGTTTATCCTGAACCTTTATCGAAAGAATAAGATATGCGTGTAAACGATAATGAATGTATACAATTGATGAGAAAATAAATTAATATACTTTTAAGTATAACATTTGAACAAAATCACACAATAATAATTGATTTCCAATGAAATATTAAACAAAAGCTTGACTTAAGTGTTGCACCCCAAAATTTACCATATTGGTTTTAGAACTTTAAAGGCTTATGTTTCACCATATGCATTAACACATTGTGATAGGATCAAGGTATTTTGGTTCCCAAGTTCTTCTGCAAGCTATGAAAGATGGTTTTATTGTCAACTAGTGCAGAAGGGTCTCATGCCCTCAATTGTTAAGTCACTCAAGATACAAGGATTTCTCATACCTCAAGACACCTCAATTGTCTCTTTGATTCATCAGAAGTTTGAAATTGCAAGTTTGGATTCTTAAATCACTATTCTTCTATGCATCTCTTGAGATTAGGGTTTTGACTGATGAAGAGTTTGATACTTGTGTGGGCAAATTTTTTTAAACAATATCCTCTCATTGTTATATGATAAATCTTTGTTCAAAGAATTCCTCAACATGTCCAGAGGAATTAGGGTTTTGAGACTGGATCATCATCTCCTAGCATAGAGGGATAAAATTAGGGTTTTTGATTTAGTTTTGATATCTCTGACGTTTTGGGCAAGACTTGATTCTATGCTTCTCTACATGTTTATGATCACCCATGATTGAAGGATTGAGCTTCAATTTTGATTGGAAGTTGTTCAATTGATCAATTGGGGGGTAAAACAATCATTTGAGCAAAAGTCAACAAATATCAATTGTGACCAAGTGGATTTTTTGGTCAACATGCAATTCAACATCCATATTTTTATGTTACATGGTCATTAATGGAAGAAAATCAAGAGAATTGTTGAATTTGAAGATAACTTGTCAAAGAAGTCATTTGAACATTTGAAAAGTTTCTACGTATGGAAACTCATAGTACTAAACTTTGAAAGTTCATAAATTCTTCATTTTTTTATTGAAAAAATTCAAGCCTTACATGGTTGGAAAGAGGAGAAAAAGTTCTGTAACTTTGTCCTTGTGAGCCCAAGTCCAAAAATTGAAGGGAAATAAAGTTATTTTGCTTGGAAGATTCTTGACATTTAGTAAATTTTCAAATTATGCGCACAAGGTCTGAATTCTTCATTATCATTTTTGAGGTATCAAATGGATTCAATTCAAAAAGTTCTCAACATCAAAATTAAATTTTGAAATCTCCTTTACAATTTTGGCTCAAGAATCATTTCATTTGGTTCAGTATTGAGATAAATACAATGATTAGGATTTGAAGCCTTGAGATGTCATTTTGCCAAGTCACGCGCGTGCCAGGCCAAACATTTCACCAAAGAGTTCATGGTCATTTTTCTCATGGATTTAATATTCATTTTAAAAAATGTTGAACATGAAAGTTGGATTTTGTCGTGTCTTCTTCAATTTTGGTTTAAGTTTTGTTTCATTTTGAGCTTTGTAGAGAAAGTTATAGTGTTGTTAATCCAAGGGCATAATGTGTCAATTTTCTGGCTAGCAAGGCATGGTATATGCGCAAAGGAAGCCTGGCCAGTCAAGTGTTGTTATTTTCGTGCCAAAATTTATACATTTTGCAAGCTTTATTTCAAGTTGTCATCAACACCAATATTTAATTTCATCATTATAGCTTTCGATAGGCCCCATTTGTATGAAAAATGCACGAGGAAATGTTGAGATATGGAGAACTGGTCATGGTTGGTCCAAGGAGACCAATGGCAATTCACGATTTTCTTGTGCATGTGATAAAGTTATAATGTATGATTTTTATCATGTACCTTATGCACATGACACAAATCATGATTTCATCATCTCTCTTTCCAAATTAAGGTTAAACAATGCATAAGAGAAGCATGCTCACGGTTTTCTCAATGTTTACCAAAATTGGTAACTTTTTCTCCACTCAGTTTTCATGCCATGTGCAAGTTTGTGCCAACTCACTCATCATGCTTCACTCACTCAATATTCATTCTTTATCCACTCCTCAAAACACAAGCAATATACCAACAAGTTAATTCAAAATGCAACTGACTTGTGCACTTTTCATTTGGATAAAAAAGCCCTCCAACGGCTATTAAGCCAATTGTCCATATTGCCCTAGCAAAACTTCCTCTCCACTCTTTCTCACTCTTTATAAGCAGCTTCATTCTTTATTCACTGGACACGCACTCCCTCCTTTGCAAAAATCAGATCCAAATCTCCCGCTTCATTAAAAAAATTGAGTTCTCTCTCTCTCTCTCTCTCTCTCTCTCTCTCTCTCTCTCTCAATTCACTTAAGCTTTTCTTCAAATCCAAGCTTGCACGATCATTTTGGAGCTAAGGAAATAAGATTATCGGGTTTCTATTGAGAAAGATCAGAGACATTGTGAATTTATTTTTCACACTTGAGGTAAGTTCCTTTGAACTTCAATCCACGATTTCAGCTTACATTTTCGTTATAAATTTTGTTCATAATGGTTTAGCTAGTCAGATTCTAGAACTGATGTATATTTATGTGTGAAATATTGCTTGAATCATGTTCTTCAAGTTGTGTGAAAATCTCATGAATCAGTGATTCCTTGCTCACTTTTTACTTTGATCTTACATTATTTAATAAAATCATGAACATCACTTGAATCCTTGTAGTTTTATGAACAATTTTGGTGTTTGGATCATTCAATTTGGTTGCAAATTGAGAGAGAAATTTAAATCTGAAAATCGTATGATGATTGTGTTTTAAAAATGTCCATGATTTCTTGTAATCAATGATTTTCGCACCATGATTTCCCTATGATCTGTGCATTGTTATAATAAATTCTTGTTGCTATTGCATTCTATGCACTTTGGTCTTTATTTTTTGTTTCAATTTCGTTGGCTTTAGTTGAGAAATGAGAGAGAAATCATAGCTTGAAATTGCTTGTTTAAACTGAAAATGATTTAGGGTTTGATTGCTTGTTAAGGACGACTACATGGCGTGTTTGGATTCAATATGTTTGAATCTCTTTTGTAGCATATTTTTTTGCACACAATAGGTGTAATACATCTGGATCTATTTTGAATTTTATTTCAATTTTAACTGTTTTCTTCAATTTTATTTTAATAGTTACTTTGATCTAAAAATTAACAAAAAATATTGTAGACTTCATTTTTAGTCTATTTTTCGATTTTTAATTTTTTCATGATTTTTTTTTTCATTTTTAGATGATTAATCAATTCATATAGAATAATTAAGTGTTTTGATCATATTTTAAGATTTTGATTTTATTTTCAAATTTTCACTAACCTAAAAAAATACACAAAAAATATTCTGAGTTTCCTTTTAAGTCTATTTCATGAAAATAATTGTTGTCCTATTTTACAAAATTTGTGACACTCTAAATAAATCAATTGATTAGTTGTGTCACTCTTTTTTCAATTTTGTTACATTTTACAATAATTTCTGTTTTAATTTTTTCTCTTAAGATAAAATTCTAGAAAAATATGTTTAGTATTCCTTAGATAATAAACTAATTTTCCAAGGTTTTTAATTTGATTTACATTTTAGTTTTCTTGTTTTTAGAAATTGTGGAATTTAATTGGTGATTTTGGTCTGTTTTCTTGCTTAAGGCTAAAGAAATAATTTATTTTCTAATTTTTTAATTTCTAAAAATCATAGAAAATATGTT